TCTGGAGACCGCTGTTGCTAAATAAATATTTCGCTTATTAAAGACCCTAAATATAACGCCGTTTTCAACACGGCAGCCAACAGCCAAAAAAAGCAAAGGGAAATTGATTAGACAGAAAAAAATAGAACAATAATTGGTCAATATAAGTGAACCAGTTCTCTGGAGGGAATTGTACCCAAACGAAAGCTTTAGGAATTGCACCTTCCGTACTACTGTCAAAAGCTATTCTAAATACTACTTTCAAACTTTCAGCCTAAGATGGAGACGACAAAATATCACATTAGAGGACGGAAAGTATTCTGAAAACGCGTTGTACTGAGTCAAGCTACGATCAACTACTATAGTCTTGCATTGTGCAAAGACTGGGCACATAGCTTTCATGGCTTTCACAGCAGCTCTCACCGCTCTCATTCGGCAAGATAGCGTAGAAGAAACTTCTACCTAAACCGCTGTCGTCTACAAGCATAGCATGCCAAAGCACGTATCCGCCACAATTTAGCTGATGTGTGGCGTCCGCTAACAAAACATCATTAAACCTGGCGACGCAGTGCAGCATAATCTTAGGAACAAAATAAATGTGACGAACGATGCCTTCGTTCAGCCCTGACCTAACCTCTCCCTGATTCTCCAGCATATCCCTAACTTTCACCTCAATCGTTAAGCATTCATGGTTCACGAATGTTACGCGAAGCCTCCCCGGTAAAACCCTTGACTCCACTTCGATTGTCTGACACGCTCTGTTCCACTTCGATGAAATGGATTTGACTGTGGAGTGCTGCTAGCGAAATGGATGAATAAATAAATAAACAATAAATAAATAAATAAACATCTAAAGAAGCACATAACTGCGTGTTCCATGAGTTGGCAATAAACGAAAACTAAACTTGTGGGAAGAATTGCCACGTTATACAAGGAAAGAGAGTCAGTCCTATTACTGCAAACTGCAGATGATAAATTGTGTAAGTTTCCGAATGGTAGAAATAACCGTGCTATAAATTTCGCACACGAGTATGCCATCTAGTATGGAGTCCTTTATGTTTTTTATGACTGGTCTTCCCAACAAAAGATTCTATCCATAAGGTAACTCACAAGTTTAGGACAGTCCCTGAAGAAATTATCGATTGTTTCCGGCTGGAACCCGATGTCAACCATGCACCTACGTTGTCTAATGAGTGGACTTTTCGGACTCTATGGAATATATAAAAGATAGTGGGTACCGTAATATTCCCGCAAGAGTTAGAAATTTAGTATGGCGGTGTATAAACTTTATGCTAATTTGCAATGCAACATCGAGGAGAAACCATTTAACTACTTCTGAGCTGTATCGTGCAATAATGATGTAAATTGAGCTCCTCCGGGGCCAACTGGGATGGCCCATAGCATCCAAACGCGGTTTTATTAAAAAAAAATCAAGGTCGTTTGATCAATCGCCATTATCCAAGCCATGAAAAAATCCACAATGGGGAAATCTGTCGCTCAAAAATTATTTCACTCTGTGGAGACGTTCACAATTACGCCAGATGACCTGAGGTGGCCAAAAACCAAAAAAATAAAGAAAAATTTGAACAACAAAAAAAATAAAAATAATATTCATTCATATATGAATTCATCATTGGTAATGAAATGGACCAAAATTCCATCAATAATAATTGCAACTTCCATATAACTGTCCCAAACTATTTTAAATACTATCGAGAAATGAAAACTAGAAGACAGGCAAATCAAATTGGCGTGGCCCTAAAGAAGCCATTGTCAGTCATTTTGGGCTTTTGACGTCCACGCTCATCGACTGAAACAATGCACACAAACGTGCGCTTCCTTTTCACTGTAAGCAGCGCAACGGGTGTGTGTTCTTCGCCTGCATTTATGGCACTGGGTCCATTGATGATCATTGTCCAAATCGACCGTCTTGCACTCAGATTTGCAGATATTGCAGCAAATTCGCCTTCATCAGTGATGCTGGATTGGTTTACCTTCGTCGTTTAGCGACCAGCTTGTACTTAGTCGATGTCGTTGTTGTCAGTCTTCGGAATACAGCTCCAGTGGGTCAACTAGGGCTATTTCCTCGTCATCACTATCGACTAGTCTACTCACTAAAACTGATTTCCGCTTTTCTATCGAACCGCTTGTTGACGCTACTGATGGATTATCGGCCCTTATCTTGACGCTCATAGAAGGAAGGCAGACACGCTTACTCTCCATAATCTGTGTTGCTGATCCCTGCCTGTCGAATAATATTTGGATATCCGGGTGTTTCCCTATCATGGCTGTTACACGTCAAAGTTGATTAAATTGAAAACCGTAATTTGTGGTACCTAAACTATTTAAAAGAGACACCTAGCTCTTGAAGGAGCTAACGTTGATGTCTTACCAATGACGTTTCTCGAGGCCGCTATTACTACAGGGGTGTTCTTCAGTGCCTCGTCTGAACACCTTTCGCTACGTTTCATAATTCACCTGTCTAGAATGTGACTGTGAAGATCCCAATTAATCAGATGGAATACCATGGCTATATGCAAATAGGGCAACAACCATTGCGCATAAAAATTACATTCACACTTCGTTTCCCCTGCGGTAACTACTTTATGACCCTTGCCTTTACTATCCACTAAGAGGAAGAACCCTCTCTCGTGAACGATTCTCTCAATCTGATACGACTTCCAATTACTTAATAATATATTTCGCGAATGTGGTGTTACT